AAAACGATATTCGAAATCCAAAACAACATTTTGGCAAAACATTGGTAGCAGCTAACGAACTTCCACATGAGGAAGTATATCAATCATAAGTGAGTAAGTATTTCATAATGAAAAGTGACATCAGGTGTCTAGATGAGCAAGCATACATTGTCTGGCGCCACACCCGTCATTGAACTATTCCAAATGTGTACAAACATTATTTGATCATTTACCCCCTCTGCTTGGGCTGGTATACTCTTGTTTTGTTGTTATTTGTGCAAACCCTGATTCTTATTAATCTATGTCTTAATTTCCTTGCTATTTCATGGTGGTTACATAGCCTGAACTATTCCTAATGTTATGAACCTTATCATTTACCTCTTGTGTTGCTGTTATTTGTGCAAACCCTGATTCTTATTAATCTATGTCTTAATTTCCTTGCTATTTCATGGTGGTTACATAGCCTGAACTATTCCTAATGTTATGCACCTTATCATTTACCTCTTGTTTTGCTGTTTTTTGTGCAAACCCTGATTCTTATTAATCTATTTCTTAATTTCCTTGCTATTTCATGGTGGTTACATAGCCTGAACTATTCCTAATGTTATGAACCTTATCATTTACCTCTTGTGTTGCTGTTATTTGTGCAAACCCTGATTCTTATTAATCTATGTCTTAATTTCCTTGCTATTTCATGGTGGTTACATAGCCTGAACTATTCCTAATGTTATGAACCTTATCATTTACCTCTTGTGTTGCTGTTATTTGTGCAAACCCTGATTCTTATTAATCTATGTCTTAATTTCCTTGCTATTTCATGGTGGTTACATAGCCTGAACTATTCCTAATGTTATGCACCTTATCATTTACCTCTTGTGTTGTTATTTGAGCAAACCCTGATTCTTATTAATCTATTTCTGATATCTTTATTTGCACTAGTTAGTGTGCGCTGGCAATTAAGACTGTGTTCATTTTTATTTTCTTGCTTTTTCAAACTGTTTCATAAAGTCATACTGCAAGACACTTATTGAAGTTGCATGACAAGAAAGGACCTGTGCCCAATAATTTCCCTTTCTGGAAACAAAATTATGTTTTATTTTATTACACAGCATACAATATAATTTTTATATATTTTTTATCATGGCAATTTTTGGGTTTTTATAAGTTTTTTGATATTTTCCTCTAGGTTTATGCAGAGTTTTTATCATGGCAATTTTGGGGTTTTTATAAGTGTTTTGATATTTTCCTCTTGGTTTATGCAGAGTTTTTATCGTGGCAATTTTGGGGTTTTTATAAGTGTTTCGATATTTTCCTCTTGGTTTATGCAGAGTTTTTATCGTGGCAATTTTGGGGTTTTTATAAGTGTTTTGATATTTTCCTCTTGGTTTATGCAGAGTTTTAATCGTGGCAATTTGGGGGTTTTTATAAGTGTTTCGATATTTTCCTCTTGGTTTATGCAGAGTTTTTATCGTGGCAATTTTGGGGTTTTTATAAGTGTTTTGATATTTTCCTCTTGGTTTATGCAGAGTTTTAATCGTGGCAATTTTGGGGTTTTTATAAGTGTTTCGATATTTTCCTCTTGGTTTATGCAGAGTTTTTATCGTGGCAATTTTGGGGTTTTTATAAGTGTTTCGATATTTTCCTCTTGGTTTATGCAGAGTTTTTATCGTGGCAATTTTGGGGTTTTTATAAGTGTTTTGATATTTTCCTCTTGGTTTATGCAGAGTTTTAATCGTGGCAATTTTGGGGTTTTTATAAGTGTTTTGATATTTTCCTCTAGGTTTATGCAGAGTTTTTATCATGGCAATTTTGGGGTTTTTATAAGTGTTTTGATATTTTCCTCTAGGTTTATGCAGAGTTTTTATCATGGCAATTTTTGGGTTTTTATAAGTGTTTTGATATTTTTTTCTAGGTTTATGCAGAGTTTTTATCATGGCAATTTTGGGGTTTTTATAAGTGTTTTGATATTTTTTTCTAGGTTTATGCAGAGTTTTTATCATGGCAATTTTGGGGTTTTTATAAGTGTTTTGATATTTTCCTCTAGGTTTATGCAGAGTTTTTATCATGGCAATTTTGGGGTTTTTTATAAGTGTTTTGATATTTTCCTCTAGGTTTATGCAGAGTTTTAATCGTGGTAATTTGAAGTATTATATTAGAATGAAGAAACCGAAGAATGCTGTAAAAGACGTGTATGATGTAATCAAGTCAAAGTTTAATGGTGATATTGGAGTGATATATTGCTTATCAAGGTAGAGTTTTCATAGTAGATTTTATTGACTGAATGGAGGTTCTATGAAAAATATCGTCGAGTTGTTTATACCAGGCAATAGGCAGGATCTCCTGTGGGCTACAGTCTTTTCAAAATGCCTTGACAGTTCAAAATTGCAAAATTTCCCCCTTTGCGCACTGCATGGCATTGCCCAACAGCATTAGTCCAAGCATAACATTCAATATGATGGTGCCAAGACCGTGTCATGAATCATGAAAGTTGAGCAGAAGGAAAATATGATCTCCTCAGTTGTTTTCGTGTATGAAGAATTTTTAATATGTTTACAGAAAGGAATGTGATACAACTGCTAGTGAACTACAGAGACAAGGTATACAGGCTGTATCTTACCATGCTGGTCTCTCTGATTCAGAACGTTATAGTATACAGGAACAATGGTTATATGGTGATAAAAAGGTACTTCAATTTTTGATATGTCATGCACTGTTGTCAAATTCTGAACTTATGATATATAAAAAAAATGAATAATTATATTTTAAAGGGTTTATAACTTATGTTCACAAATAAGGATCTTTTCTACCAGCTGGTCCTTAGTATATCCTTTTGATGCTGATTTTTCCTGGATTATCAGTATCCATTTACAGCTGGGTTGACTGGAATAGTAAGGAAAGAACCCACTATCAACATATATATATCTATATTCTCCAATAAGTAATATAAGAATTCTAATTTTTCAACCCATGATCCCTCCTATGCAATTAGTATATACTGACATGGAAAAAGTGTCCAGTCATTTGGATGGGTATATCAACCAAGGGCTCATGTGCTACAGGCTGTTTATATTAAGATCTTGACGCCAACTTGAACTCGAAAAAAGAGTGTCACTGTCACCATCCTGGCAATATTGTCCTCTTTGCACATTGCATTGTGTCGCCCATCTTCTTTTGCCAAACAGGTGCACAAAAGTAGTATGTAAAACTCCATTCATTTCATTTGATTTCATTTTTTCCAACAGGTAATATGTGCCACTATAGCGTTTGGTATGGGAATAGATAAACCAGACGTCAGATTCGTTATTCATTTCTCGCTACCAA